TTTTCTTTCGGTACTGGGGATCAAACTCAGGACCTTTCACTTGCCAGGCAGGCACAAGAGCACTTTTTAAAACTGAGAGTTGAAATAAAAATATTCACTTGAAGGATATGACCACAAAATTGAGAAAAATTTTTCAGTGAGGAGAACAAATGACAGGTCTCCCAAATGGAGATTAAAAACAAGAATATGAGAGGATAAATCCAAAATTCCAATATCCAAATGTTAGAAGTTCCAGAGAAAGAGAGAGTGATAAACAAAATTGAAGAGGAAGAAATCATCTTTAAGATAATAACTTAAGAAATTTTACTGGCATAGTGCTATAATGGCACAGACCTTTAATTCTAGCACTCTGGAAGGCTGAGGCAGGAGGATCAGAAGTTCAAGTCCAGGGCTGGGGATTTAGCTCAGTGGTTCCACCACCTGCTGTGCAAGCACAAGGACCTGAGTTCAATCCCCAGTACCAAAAAAAAAAAAGTTCAAGTCCAGCTCAGGCAACTTAATGACTTAGCAAGAGCCTGACTCAAAATAAAAAATAAAAAAGGTTCAGGATGTATCTCAGTACAAAGAAGGCCCTGGGTTCAATCCTCAGTACTAACTAACTAAATAAATAAATCCCCAGAATTGAATAACACAAGAACTCACATTGAAAGGGTCTCCTGAATGTGCAGACAAATGAATTTAAACAACAAATGAAACTTCAGAATCCCAAAAACGAAAAGAGACTCCTAAAAACTTTCACATATATAAAACCAGGTCCCATACAAAGGATCAAGAATCAGAATAACACAGGATTTCTCTACAATAAGTTAGAAGCCTGAAGCCAGTGAAACACTGTCTTTTAAATTTAGTGGGGAATTATTTCCAACTCAGTATTTTAACTCAAGCCAGAGTTTAAAAACAAAAAAAAACACCACCTATGTTTTGGAAGTTGTATGCCACCAAAATATCAAAGTAAATGAAGAAGAAAATGTGGAATCCATACCAAAGGACAAACACTGCATGAAACTCTCTCATGTGACATACTTAGAACAGTCAAATTCATAGAAATGGAAAATAGAGTGGCAGTGTCCAGGAATTGGGTGGAGGGGGGAATGAGGAATTAGTGTTTAATGGGTCCAGTTTCAGTTGGGGTAGATGGAAAAGCTCTGGAGAAGGATTGTGGGGATGACTGCCCAGCAGTGTGGATGTATCTAACACCACTGAGCTGTATGTTTGCTTTTTTTTTTTTTTTTGGTACCGGGGGATCGAACTCGGGTCCTTGCGGTTGTGCAGCAGGCAGCGAAACCACTGAGCTAAATCCCCAGCCCTGAACTGTATGTTTAAAAGGGTTAATGCTACTTTATGCTACACAATAAAAAATGAAAAATGGAAAATGGTTAAAATTAAAGTAAAAGGTGGGTTGGGGATTTAGCTCAGTGGTCCCACCGCCTCCTGCCTTGCAAGTGCAAGCTCCCGAGTTTGATCCCCGGTACCAAAAATAAATACATACATACATATATAAAATTGTATTACAATAAAAGACACATTGCCATTAATCCCCCTCATTTCAAACACACTTAATCTCATTGCTCTCCCCCCACCCTTTTGTTTGAGAGAGGGTCTCTTGCTATGTAGTTCCATCTGTTCTTCAACTCACTATGAACCCCAGGGTGACCTTGAATTTGCAGCAATCTTCCTGCCTCAGCCTCCTGAGTGCTGGGATTACAGACATGTACCATGACACCTGGCTCATTTTTTCTACTTTGTGAAGCACTTCTTGGAAGTTCTTTTTTGCGTCTTTACAAAGTGTGATTAAAAAATACAGTGAGTGCTGCTGCCACCTGTCATCCAACAAAAAAGTGGAGGCATAAAAGTATTCCGACATGTCCTCATCCACATTATTCACCAAGTCTGGCACCATGCAACCTCTGGCTCTTCGCCAAAGTCAAAATGACCATGAAAGGGAAATGTTTTGCATCGATTCAGGACAACAAGATAGCAAAGTAAAGGGCAACTAAAGACACAAAAGAGGACTTCCAGAACTGCTTCAGAAAGTGGAAAGAATGATGGGGTAAGTGTATCTGAAGTGAGGCAGAGTGTTCTGAGGGGGGTTAATGGCAATGTGTCTTTTACTGTAATAAATTTTTTAAAGTAAGCATTCACCATATTTTTGGTCATATCCCATATATCTAGTTCCATTTAGAAACTAAAAGTAAACCCAAGCCCCAAACAATGCAGTCCTACAGTTTAGAGAACATTGTCATGATTATTGCCCTCTGGTTAAGTATCACAAAGATCTAATAAAATAGGGGCTGGGGATTTAGTTCAGTGGTTTTGCCACCTGCTGTGCAAGCACAAGGACCCAAGTTCAATCCTCCGTACCAAAAAAAAAAAGATCTAGAATAGATACATTCTATAGAATGTATAGAATAGATAGATCTAAAATAGAGACATTTTGCCATTTGTAGACAAGAAAATAGGTTGAAGGAAGTAAGTGGCCCGTAGTAATTCAGCAGTTGAGCCAAGGAGTGAACACTCGGTCAGTTCAGCACGATTTTAGTATATTACACTGATTGTGTCTTCGTCAGTTCCAGAAAAACCTGCCTGCCCCCAAGAACCTCTCTCTATAGCCCAGAGGGATGCTCTCTGAGGAGCCTCAGAAACAGAAAACCAAACTGAGGTGATCAGGATTGCTGGGAGAGGAGCCACCAAAGCAAGCCCCTAGTATTATCCACCTAGAGACACAACCGGCTTCACACACTGACCCCAGCCTCTGACAGCCTGCCACCACCTAGGCAGAGAGGGTCCTCAGATGCCAGGAGCCCCCTACTCTGGTGTCTCTCAGGTCAGCCCTCTCCTGGCCCAGGCCTTCTCCAGTCAGTCCCCCACCCCTGCCCTTGACTCTCCACCATCCCAAGGCACCTGGTCCTGGGTCCTCAGCTGATCCGATCCACAGCAGCACACAGGCCCACACTGAAACAGCTGGAAACAGCTGGAACAAAGCAGAAGTCAACAGGAAGCATGAGAATCACTGTCTGACACAAGACATGAGGGACAGGAAGTGATTAGAGCCAGGAAGGCTGGGGCCTGCTGTCTAGAAATGAGGCAACCCTGCCAGCCTCGTTGCTCAGCTGGAGTTGAGCAAGACCTCAGTGCTTGGGAGAGAGAAGAAATGCCAGTCCCAGCCCCTCAGCCAGGCCTTCAGGGCTGTCCATCTCCACTGCGTGTGTGCAAGCCACTGGTCTTTCAGCAAACATTCTTTCTCCCCCACTCTGCAGCCTCCGTCCCTGTACTCAGAGGATACAGAGAGGGGAAGAGCTGTCGCTAAGCAAGAAGAGGTGACAAGTGGATGTCAGTGTTATTTTTATCTCTGGGAGGCCCAGCACAGAACTTGGTACAGCACATAACATGATGGGTAAAAGAACAAATGAGGGCTGGGGGTGTGCCTCAGTGGGAGGGCACTTGCCTAGCGTGAGTCCCTGCTTTCGGCTCCCACAGAGGAAGAAGAGAGGACCTCTGGCCTCTGCAGTGGCTGCAGTTCTCATTCGTCACTTAATCTTACCCAACAGAGGAGGACCCATTGCTAAGAACAGCTACTGGCAGGGCTGGGGATTTAGCTCAGTAGCTCAGTGATGCCGCCACCTGCCTTGAAAGTGCTAGGTTCCCAAGTTTGACCCCTGGTACCAAAAAAAAGAACAGCCACTGGTAACAAATGTGAAAGTAATGGGCAAACCATGTTTTCTTCATAAATGAATACTGAGCAAAAAAATTAAATAGCCAGGCATGGTGGCACACACTTGTAATCCCAGCTACTCAAGAGGCTGAGGCAGGAAGATCACCACGTTTGAGGCCAGCCTGAGCAATTTAGAAAGACCCTGTCTCAAAAATAAAAAGGGGGCTGGGAATGTAGCTCAACACTCTCTGAGTTCAAACTCCTATACTGCAAATATATATATATATCCTCCTCAATTTCCACTTTCCAGGTACTGCAAAATACAATAAAACTTAAAAAAAATGCCTTGTCTAGGGTTAAAAACAGACAAACAAGAACTGCTAGTGCAGCCTTTCCTTGAGAATTCCTTTCCCCGGGGATGTGTTATCTCTCCAAGGTCACCCATTGAAAGCAGGGGCCATGTTGTCCTCTCTCATCCTTAGGAGTACCCAGTGGACATTAGCAAAACATCATCCAGATTTATTTTATTTATTTATTTATTTATCTATCTATCTATTTATTTGTTTATTTATTTATTTATTTATTTCAGTACTGGGTTTTGAACCCAGGGCCTTCAAAATGAGCTACATCCCTAGCTCTTTTTATTTTGAGACAGGGTCTCACTTAGTCACTAAGTTGCCCAAGCTGGGCTTGAATTTGTGATCCTCCTGCCTCAGCCTTCCACAATTGCTGAGATTACAGGCCTCAGCTACCATGCCCAGCATCACCCTGATTTAGAGCACACAAGTAGCCTCACCTACTGGGCTGAGGAATCCACAGCAGTGGGGCTGAGCTTTTGAATGCTATGGCGAAGGCTTGCATGAGGGCAGGGCCACAGTGGCCCTCAGCTCCTCTTAGCTTTTTTCACAATACCCTAAAGCCACGAAGGGTGTGAAACGGCAGAGCATGCTGAGACCCCAAGATCTGCCTGAAAGTCTTCCTCCTCCATTGCACCCATCTCCTGAAGGAAGAAGCTACTTGGCCTGCAGCACACCCACAACACATCAAAAGCAGCCCGCAGGTTTGCCACCTGCTGACCCCTGCTCTCTGTCCTCATGTCCCTGCTTCTCAGACAAAGGACGCACTAATGACTGAGGTGGCCCCTTCTCAAGGGTTGCTCCTTCTTTCTCGCTTCCCCCAATTGACCACCCTACAAGGGCTGCCCATCCGACACCACACTTCTCTTAGTGCACCCCAAACTTTACAGAGGGTTACTATATGCTAGGCATTTTGCTAATTATTTTACCTATAATATGCTGCTTTAACCTCAAGCAACTAGGTAGAGACTGTTACCATTTCCATTTTGCAGATGAGAAACCAAGACCCAAAGGAGGTCACACAATTGCCCGAAGTCACACAGTAAGTAGACTCATCCTAACTTATAATGGCACGGTTCTATGAAATTGTGTTTGTTCCAGGATGCTGTAAACTCTGAGGGAAGAGCGGGTTTGCTTCTCTCGCACCTCTCGTGTTGCACGGAGACTAACTAGCTGAGTGTTGTTTTCAGCTTCAGAACCTCGATTGAGTATGAGTCATTATGGGGAGTTTGTTAGAAGTGCAGACTCTTATCTCAGGCACCACCCCACTCCTACAGAATCAAAATTTGCATTTTCATATGAGAACCAGGTAAAAAGACCACACTGGTGTCAACTGAATTGAATGGGTGGCACCCTATAGTCTTCCACAACCAAAGCAAGCATAAGAAAACAAAAAAACTCACAGGCCTCTTGATCTTGAGGACTGCACCTCCAGAGAGCGTACAGAGGCAAAAAGTTAGGGCTGGACGCTCCCCCACACTCTGCTCAATTTCCACTTTCTTGGTACTGTGGCAAGCTCTTGGCCCAAGGCTTCTGGGTAGCAAGGGGACGTCTCTAATGCTCCACCTTCTGGTATTACTGGGTATTGCTCACTCGTTTCGGCCCCGGTATCCCCTCCCAGAGCTGCAGCTCCCTGTGTGAGGCTCCTGTAGGGGATTTCTTGGTTCTTACTAAGCTGATTTATTTCTGCTCCTTCAGCATTCACCATTCGCTTTTCTTGTCACTTGTTCAGATAACTCCTTACTCTCTAACCGTAATGCATAACACTGTTTGCTTAGCCCCTTGGCTTCAATTAAATTCAGTTCGTCAGGCAGGTGTTGAGCTCCTATGGGTACAAAGCATCACAACTCCCACATTCTTCAGACTAGCGTCAAAGTGGGAGACTCGCCAGGCAACTAGTGTCTGGATTAAAGGGAAAGGAGTAAAGATTTAAAACTGGTCTCTACCAGAAAGCATTTACATTCACAAAAACAGATTTCCATTTACCTGTATTTATACCCATCTAAAATCAACAAGGAGCCAAGAATTTAGCTCAGTGGTTCCACCGCCTACCTCGCAAGAGAAAGGTTCTAAATTCGATCCCCGTTACCAAAAATAAATAAATAAATAAATACATAAATAAAATCAACAAGGAGGGCGGGGATTTAGATCAGTGATGCCGCCGCCTGCCTTGCAAG